AAAAAGTCCGCGATACCATATGTCTATTTCTTATACATAAGCCATAATTTGGTAGCCTAAGTTACTCCTTGTGATATCAGCTATCTGCCAGTGAAAATCCCGCCAAAATCGGTCCAGCCGTTTCGGAGATTAGCTGGAACAAACAGACAGACAGACAGACAAAAACTTTAAAAATTGTATTTTTTTATTAGTACCGTATATATACTTTCATATGCATTTAGTAAAAAGCAGTAATTTTGACATTACAAACAGACACCTCAATTTTATTTATTTGTATAGAATAGATTGAATAAAACAGTTTCTGTTTTTGTTTCTGTATAATTATGAATAATACACGAGTCAAAAACTCATCCGAACGACGCACAATAATCCACGAACACTGTGTTTCGGCGCCGCCGAAGGTTCTGCAGATTTTTTGCCGAAACCGAAACTAATACCGAAACTAGATTTTTTTGCCGAAACTTTCCGAAACCGAAACCGAATCTTCGGTCGGTCACTAAATTTTAGTCATAATCATCAATAAAGACATTGTATACTAACTGACTGACTGAACGCTTCACTATTACAATGAACCTGGCAACATTATTTCACAAAGTGACATTAGTATTTGTCAGGCAGCTTCGTTTAATTAAAAATACGATTTTATGCAAAAACCGAGCCAATTCCCAAACGACATTCACGCCATCTAACCAAGGCCGTCTTAGACCATACCGAGGCCCTTGGGCACACAAGAATTTGGGGCCCTGTTGGAAAGTAAAAAAAAGCGAATGACAAAAACATTTTTCTGTTATGATCTTATATTTATTATAGTTAAATGGTAAAAATCAAATAATATGTTATTAGATATAAGTATGTTGGTAGTTTGAATTGATTACTCTTACGACAGTGGTTTTCTTCGTGATTTCTGTTGTGCAAAATCTTCTATTATATCTTCAAAGTCTATTTTTGAAGGAAATGTTTTTGAAGGCTGTTTGAACACCTCAGTGAAGCCTCTGATGTTGCTCTAATTCGGTACCCTAATGCACAGTTAGTTTTTCTGGGGGGCTTTAATGCCTGTCATCAGGACTAGCTGTTCCCATACCAGAAGACTGACCACGCTGGGTGAGAGGCGTGGAATTTTGCCTTGTCGCTGGGGCTCTCCTAGCTGGTACAACAAGCTACTAGGGTACCTGATGTGGATGAGCACACAGCCAACTGCCTCTACCTTCAGTTGACAATAGATCCAGACAGGTACGATGTTCAGGTTACCTCACCCTTTGGAACTTCTGACCACTGTCTGGTGAAATCTGTGTCGTTATATTCCACACCTAACTACGATTTCCACGGAGTGCGACGAATGTGGCGATACAAGTCAGCAGATTGGGGTGAGATGCGGCATTTTCAAACCATCTGGCAGTAGAGCTATTCCTCGACTGCTTTGGTCTCTCGCCAAAGCAGTCGAGACAAACTTCTGTCGGTCTACACTGCCTCCGTCTTTAAAACCAGATTGCTCACTGGCGCAAAAAAGCGCAAAAGGCGGACTTATTTGCTTCTCTTCTGGTATACCAGCTATAGTTCTAAAGGTCTGTGCACCTGAGTTGTCTCCTGTGTTGACACGCTTGTTCCACCTCTCATTCAGGACTGGAATAGTGCCTAAATCTTGGAAGCTGGCCAATGTGCAGTCTGTGCCTAAAAAGTAGGTTTACCGACCCTGCCAACTATCGGCCAATTTCAATTACCTCCATACTCTGCAAAGATTATGGAGCGTGTATTGAACGCCCACCTCATGGCATACCTGGAGCAAAAAGATCTCCTCAGTGATCGCCAGTACGGGTTTCGCCGAAATCAATTAACTGGGGACCTTCTAGCGTCACTGCCACTCACATGTGGGGAGAAGCCCTCGAGAGCAGTGGTGAAGCACTTGCTGTTTCTCTCGATGTTTCGAAGGCCTTTGACAGGGTTTGGCACGCTAGTCTATTGGGCAAGCTTTTAGCGTATGGCATATCCCCTGGCCTTATTGTCTGGGTGAAGGACTTTCTGAGTGAACGGTCTCTCCGGGTCGTTATTGATGGCTGCTCATCCGATACTGTGGCGACTACCGCCGGCGTTCCTCAGGGATGGTTCTCTCCGCAACTCTTTTCCTGCTGCATATAAATTATCTGATCATTTCCGGTATCTATGGTATGCAGACACACAGTTGTTGTATGCAGACACACAGTGTTCACAGTTGTGAAGAGATACCAACGAAGCGCCCGGACCAATCGGGATCAAATCCAGCCAGAAAGAGAGGCTATCGTTGAACGTGTGAGTCTCACACTGCAGGCAGTCTCCAAATAGGGCAATTCCAATCTCGTGAGATTTAACGCCTTTAAAACACAAGCGTTTCTTTTCATCGCTAAAAGGAGCCCGCTCTCTCTGGCTCCTACTTTCCGGAATGTATCCTTGGAGTACACTAACCACCTTCAGTTGTAAGGGATTGGATTTTCTCCGAACCTAAATTATAGGCGGTTCATTGAGTCTAGAGCCAAAGCAGTCATAAGGAAACTTGATGTCCTTGCAAGGGTGCGGCGGTACTTTACGTTGGGGCAGCTTCTTACCTTATATAAAGTGCAAGGCCGATCGTGCATGGAGTACTGCTGTCACATTGGCAGCATTGGACTCAGTGGAGAGACGTGCTAAGAGGCTCATTGGTGACCTTGATTTGGTTGAAACCAATCTTGTCAGCCTCGAGCACAGGCGCAGAGTAGCCAGTCTCTCGGTATTCTATAGGATGCATTTAGGTGAGTGTGCGCAGGAATTACACGCTTTAATTCCTCCCTCTCCTTTCCACCATCGAAAAACCAAACCGATCGGCGGGTCTTCATCCCTTTTTTGTCGATATTCCATGCATTAGAACCAAATGGTTTGCTTCGTCTTTTGTAATGCGTACAGCAAAGCAGTGGAATAATTTGCCGGCGTCTATCTTTCTATCCGAATACAATCTGGGCGTCTTCAAGGCAAGAGTGAATAGGCTTTTGTTACGATAAGACAGTGTGATTTACCATCTAAAGCTGCATCACCACTTACCACCAGGTGGGATTGTGGTCAAGCACTGGCTTATAATAAGTAAAAAAAATATATCACTTTCTATACACGTAATTGACAAATTTGTTAGTCGTTCTTGTAACATAGTAGTTCGTAATTCATTTTTTATTCTCTTTAGGTGTGAAAATAAGCGCTCTCCACTACAATTGGTAATCATTAAGCAAAGGAACGAGAAAGTCACTTACAACACCCTCATCTCATTTACTCTATTAATTTTTTTATGTCAGGTTATATTTTCATGAAATAGAAAAAATATTGTATAGTCTAAGCGAATATATCGGCCTTTCGGGGCCCCCTGACGATAGGGGCCCTGGGCACGGGCCCCGTCTGCCTTTATGGTAAAGACGGTACTGCCTCTAACGAAAACTAATGTAAGAACAATTCTGTTGTTTTTTCTATAAAGAGAACTTCAGCAACGGAAACTTTTGACATCAAAATGTAAATTCACCTTTTTGGTAGTTACATCATTGTTCTATTGGATGAGCGATATTATAAACTAAAAACTTTTATCGTACATACCTACAATACTACTCATTATAGTGCATTATATTTTATATTCGGGCTTTTCTTCTGTTTCATCAAATAATTGAAAAGTTTCTGTTCAACATTATAATAAATATAATAATAATAATATCGTAAGCGTTTGTACTATTTTTTCTATTTTTCAATAATTTGTAGCCAGTAATTGAAATCTATTGGTTGCGTGAGTGTTTCCTAAACAAGCATAGAAAATGTAAATCATGGACTAAAAGCGATATTCTAGAGGCAAAATAAAATACAGGTTCAGTACTTATGTCTCTCTTTATTCTACGAGTTACGTAACGAATATATTATTGGGCTTTAATAAGTAATATTTAAATACATAAAATTATTGTCGTTAAAAATTCTTATAGTATTTCATGGATTTAAAAGATTATGGTATAACTATTTTTAAGCTATAAAAATCATTTACAGACTATATAGCACCTTCAGTTATTTTACTCTGTTATTTTATCCTTAAACTGTCCGCTGAATACTACGTCTCTCGTTTCCTATAACCTGAAGTTTAAACTGCGTTCTGGCGAGAGCGTCCGGTTAGAGACTCTCGGTAGAGAGTAGGTAATAGTGTCCTTTGACAGTATAATATTGTAATATAATTGCAATATCTTTGACATTTGATCGTCGGGAAACGAAGTGATAGGCTTTTTTTTATAGGATAGGGTGACAAACGAGCACACAGTCCACCTGATGGTAAGTAGTTGCTGTGACCTATAGACATCTACATCTATCCTCGATAAAGAATCAAAATGCAGATGCGATATCAACCGTGAGGACTAAGATGGAATGCCTCTTTTCCAGTAAAAAGGGTCTCCGGTTCTCTACACCATACGAAACACAGCAGTGTTAAGCTGCTATTTTACGCTGGTACTCTGTGAGAGCGTGGTCCTTCCCCGGTCGAGTCGACCCATTCGTGCTACAACTACACTACTAATATAGCTGCAGCATGGCTCTACCACGTTTGAATTTTGATTTTGGTTGAAGGCTGATAGGTATATTACCTTATATTTAGCTACAAAAATATGCTTAACATATCAGAAACGCGTAGCAGATTTTGAGATGATAAACAAGCTTCGGTACTAGGTTTTTGTAAATTCCCTATTACAAAAGAAACTGATTAATCAAAAGTTCACAGTCCAGCGGAATCATAGATTACTGTATACATACTAGAGCGGAATCAAGGGAGACAGATCATGGTTTTAATGACAGGAGTATTGACAAATATTTGACAGACTTGCTGTAAAATTTAACAAGATTCTTGTTGATGATTGCTTTGTGTTGTCTTAGCGTATGAGAAGACAACTTACGAATTATTTCTAGATTTCAATTATCCATGCATACATTACGTATGTTTTTATATATTATAAATATTGCAACGCACAATGGTATGCATAAAAAACTTAATCGCTAAGTGTGTCGACGTCCACATCTTCGTTGTCGTCGTTGGCAATGTTTGAAGAATCTGGATCTTTCATCGCGCCTATAGCTCCTCCGAGGCCTGCACGACCCTCTTTCGTGTGCCGCCATTTCATACGTCTATTTTGAAACCACACCTTAACCTGCAATGAATTAAGTATAAATTGTATGATAGGCATCGATATATATCTACTACGCACTAGATTTCGCATTCCGAACATTGACTATGTTCAACTGAACTATACTGCAATCCGTACACTAAACTAAATATTGCATAAATTGAAGACTTGTGAATTCCATAAGATAATTATTATTACATTTTATTTAGAAATATGTTTGTTTACATTAAAATAAGAGTATTTTATATTAAATTCTTATATTTATATTAATATCTTATTTTATATTCAATTAAAGATAGTATAGTAGAGTCGCGGGAGATAGTAGAGTCGCGCATGCGCGAAGACATAGAGTAGCGCACAATTTTGTTTGGAATAACTTCTCTAGTACGTGTACATATAACTCAATGATGATAGGGTAGGTTATATGTAAATGACTTAAATACTCTTAAATCGATAAATTACAAAAAAATACAAATTCTATTTCTGTCTAAATTATGTCTAAAATAAAAAAAGTAAAAAAAAACCGTTATTCCACTGCTCAGCATAGTCAATTATTTCTACAATGGTTTTTGGAGTAAGAAAGAGACTGCAACGGCGCGCTGCCACACTGCGTGATGTTGGATTTTACATGTCCATAAAATATTTTGAATTTCTTAGACATACAGGTTTCCTCACGATATATTTTTTTCACCGTCGACTGAAAGCCTTGCTCGCATAAGTACTATAAAAAAAATTATGCAAAGGGCTTAATAAAATGATGGAAAAAGCTGTGAAATTTAGGAGAATTAACAAAAAAAGGCTTGTATTATTATTGGTCACTACTTCTATCACAACAGCTCATGACAAGTTCACTGCCATACAAAGGCCTGCTACAAAGTACAGTCCTGAGCCAGCTGCATCCATCGACTAGGTGTACCTGTACGTCAGGACGTCACTCCATCTAGTGGAGGGTTACCGAACATTGCGCTTGCCAGAGCAAGACAGTCACCCGAGAAACTTATTTCCCTTCGGTTGATGGTTTTTGGAGCTGTGTGGTCTACCCGTTGCCGTCACGGCTTACAGATCCGTTGGACTATGATGGTTACTTTGGTTGTACTGTCTGTCTTGTATCTTATATATCACTATGCTACAATAAAATCCATTATCATTCGTAACAAATGCTTTGTAACTGACCTGAGCATCAGTAAGTCCTAGAGTAGCCGCCAGTTGTCGCCTGTCGGGTTTTGTAATATATTTTTGTATCTGAAAGCGTCGCTCGAGCCCCTTCCTCTGTAGATTGCTAAACACAGCTCGCGACCAAGAGCGCTTTCGTTTTCCGCTGGACGTTACGTCGCAGCGAGGTGCAGATGGTTGTTGAGGCGGTGATGCTCTTGGAATGGGCAGTCGATATACTGAAACAAACAACATTAAAATTAATTATATATAGTATTTGTAAAAGGAATACTCGACGACACGGTAGCGCATTGTCTAAGTATTTATCTTCAGTGCTGCGGGGTCGCGAGTTCGAATACCCTATGAAACAAGTATTTGTACGGCCTAAAAATAATCATTGCAAGTCCGGATGTTTCTCTACGTACAATTTATATGAGTAAAACGCTTTCGCGATACGGGAGTGATGTAGGGGAGAAGTTTCTAAAAAATAACATCGTTTTTGTCCTGTCAGATTATCCCACTACGTCGATGAGGGTTTTCTGAGTTAGAAAAGTTAAAATAGCTTTTAGAAGGAGTGCCCTATAGCGCATGTACTAAACTGTTAACAATGATATTTTCTTGTGGACCACGAGTGAATCACGCGTTTCCAAAATAAAGAAACAAAGTTTCACAAAATTTGAGAAATTGCTAAAAATATATTGGCAACCCGTGTTGGCAATGCTACAAAGAACAAATACCTAACGCTAACGAAAAATTAAAACATGTAGAATAATCGACATAAGTGCTACGAATCACCTACCTACATAGTACAAATCTTTAGTTCGCCCTATTTTGTTTAGGGAGCTGAAGATTGATGACCTTTGATAATCCGATTACGAAAAGAGGAAACTAGAAGAAAGCAAAAAAAAAACTTAAAGAAGCTATGGAAATAAAAATCTATTTAAACAAGTAGTAAAATTCAAAATTTTGTACAACCGACTTCAATATAAATTATTAAGGATAACTCAAAAATCAGACCTTCAGTATCAGAATCATCAAAATTGGTTCACCTAGAAAAAAGGTGTGAGATAACACACATAATTTTTTTATATAGAATAGGGTGGCAAACGAGCACACAGTCCACCTGATGTTAATTGTTAAGTGGTTGCTGTGGCCCATAGACATCTACACCTATTTTCGTTTGCGAATTAAAATGTAGATGCGTTGTCAGCCGTGAAGACTAAGATGAAATGCCTCTGTTCCGGTAAAAAGGGTCTCCGGTTCTCTACAATCTCCATATGAAATATAGCAGCATTAAGCTGCTATTTTACGCTGGTATTCGTGAGAGCGTAGTCCTTCCCCGGTCGAGCCAACCCATTCGTGCTACAACTATACTATTAATATTTAATATAGCTGCAGCATGGCTCTACCACGTACAATATATTCGAATTGAGACCTCCTGCTTTTTGAAGTCGGTTAAAAAAGCTTTTATAAGGGTTAATAGAGTCAGCATTCGGGTCCACTATCAAATCAGCTCCATGGTACCATATTACTGCATGTGCCATTACATAGGCACAAAATCTTGACAAATACTTAGTTCATAGAAAGACTTAGTAGTTATGGAGTTATTTTATTTTATGTAATATTCAAGCCTCAATTCTTAAGGCAATGAATAACTTCGGTTCCGTAGGGTCGATATATTTCAATCTCGGTATGATCACAAATTAGTCTCTATTATTACTCTAGTAATCATGTCTCTGAATCAAACAACGCTCATTTTTTTGCGGGGAGGCTGGTCGTTTGAATTCATGCTAGTATCCTCCCAAAACATGGCCATATCTATAGTCGTGTCTTCGACTGATTCTAGTGACAGTGAAGTGATACTGGTGTTCGACTCTTTCGAGCCGTCGATGCCTTCAAGGTGTTGGTGTGAAGTGATGTCGGCGTTGATTTAAAGAGTTACTTAAAATAGTACCTACAACATAACAATATGTGTATGAATATTTTTTTATAGGAGAGGGGGCAAACGAGCATGCGGCTCACCTGATCGTAAGTGACTACCGCCGCCCATGAACAACTGCAACACCAGGGAGGGAATTGCAGATGCGTTGCCGGCCTTTTAAAAAGGAGTACGCTCTTCTCTTGAAGGTCCCTAAGTCGTATCGGTCCGGAAAAATCGCTGATGGTAATCGATTCCACAAGGAAGTCGTGCGAGGAAGAAAACATCTTCTAAATCGCACAGTGGTGGACCGCCAATCATCCAGATGGTGTGGATGATATCGGCAGTTCTGCGGCGATGTGCGTTCGTGAAATTTGGCGGCTGGGATTAATCCGAACAATTCCTCAGAGCACTCCCCATGGTAGATGCGAAAGAAAATGCAAAGGGATGCAACATCTCTTCGCAGTGCCAATGAATCGAGCCGATCGGAACTAGGACTCGGTCGTCGACGATTCGAGCTGCTCTGCGCTGGATGCGGTAAAGTGGAAGGAGCTGGCACTGGAGAGCCCCTGCTCAGAGATGGTAACAGTATTCCATGTGAGGCCGAACCTGCGCCTTGTAAAGTTGCAGGAGGTGTGCCGGCATGAAATACTGTCCCGCTCTGCTGAGCACGCCAAGCTTTTTAGAGGCATATTTGGCCTTCTCTTCCAAGTGACCACGAAACTGCACGTCACTCGATATGTCGACTCCGAGGATGCCGATACTGGCTGAGGCAAGAAGGGGAGTGCCTTGAAACTGAGGAGATACGACAAAGGAGTTCTTTTTAGCGGTAAACGCGCAAACTTGTGTCTTCTGAGGATTAAACTGGACTAGATTTAGTCGCCCCCAATCCGAGACTTTGTTCAGCAAAGACTCGACTTCAGACACAAGTTTGTTCCGGTACTCGGCGACGTTTTCCCGAGAAATATTGGCACGGCCGGTGTATAGAGCATCACCAGTGCTGTCATCCGCATAGCAATGAATGTTACCAGTTAGCAACATATCATTGATATGCAGAAGAAACAGCGTTGGTGATAGCACACAGCCTTGTGGAACACCAGCGTTAATAGGCTTGTAGTCAGAATATGCACCGTCTACAACAACCTTGATGCTCCGATCTGCAAGGAAGCTGGTGATCCAATGGCACAATTTCTCGGGAAGCCCATAGGAAGGGAGCTTCGAAAGAAGCGCTTTGTGCCAAACCCGATCGAAGGCCTTCGCAATGTCCAGACTAACGGCCAACGCCTCCCCCTTGGACTCTACTGCCTCCGCCCATCTATGGGTCAGGTAGACCAGAAGATAACCAGCTGATCGACCCTGACGAAAACCGTATTGGCGGTCACTAATCAGCTGGTGATCCTCAAGGTACCGGATGAGCTGGCAGTTAATAATGGATTCCATTATTTTGGAGAACAAGGAGGTGATCGCGATAGGCCTATAGTTGGACGGGTCTGAGCGGTCGCCTTTTTTAGGGATCGGGTGGACAAAAGCTGTATTCCATGAATTCGGGACTACGCCTTGGGAGTAGGAGTACCGGAAAAGACGCGTTAGGACCGGTGCCAATTCCGGAGCACACACACAATCTATTAATTACTTTCATTTAATTAATTCCCTACAATATTCAAAAAAACTAATATACGAATCCTGATTCTATGTAATTTTGTCGCAACTACAACTACACTTTTTTGTGAGAGGCGTGGAGTAACAACTTTACTTCTTTCTGTTTTAGTTTTTCGAATTTTTGGTATCATAACCTTAAATATATTAAAAAAATGTTAAAACTTATATTTTTCTACGCTTTGATTCCCTCTCGGGAGGATCCTTCCCCCTCCCTCATTTGTCTGCTACCCATCTTCCATAAATTCTGCTTTGATTTAAGAAGTTTTTTGCAGACATAACCTCAAATATATTTTTAAAACAAAAACTAAGCTTTTCTGTAATTTGATTCTTCTGCAGAGATTCTTCCCCTTCCTTCCTTATACACCTCTCCGTAGGGGTTTTCTAGTGCACATGAAAGAAAAACACTCAAATATAAATAAACTAATTGGATCAATATAGACTCAGATCTTAAATCCATGCAATAATATTTTTTTTTTACTATCCTATCCTATCCAACAACTGATAAATTCGAAGAAACAGTTGCACCTAATGTTAGGCTCTCGACATGTAATTAATTATTATTTAATTTCAGAGTTAAAGTTATCAGGCATTGATTAAAATGAGCATTTAAACTCATCAAACAAATTAAAAAGTAATTCATCCAACCTTTTACCAGCTATCTTTTAAGTATAAGCACTGGAGTTATGAGGCGTGGTTGCTTAGGGGTTAAGCGCTTGCTGTAAATTTCACAGTTCGCGAGCAACCCGGGTTCGATCCCCGCCGGCACCAATGAGATTGTTAATTGCAATTTTATTTGCTGATTTACCACGTGCTCGGCGGTGAAGGAAAACATCGCGGGGAAACTTGTATGTCTGAGAAATAAGAAAGAAATTTCGAAGGCATATGAAGTTTTTTAATTAAACGCTAACAATAGGCAGGGATTCCAGGAAATAATTTTTCCGGGCGCAAGGACCCAAACCCAATACTAATAATTACGGGAAACCTTTATGTAGTCATTTATTAGTACATATAACTCTCTCTGTATAGCGCTAAATATTTTACTGCAATTAAAAATTATACAATTTTCTACCGAATTCAAAAAGGAGAGGGTACTCAATTCGACTATTTTTTTATGTATGGTACCTCATAACATTTTACTGGGTGAACCGATTTCGATAATTCTTTTTTTTATTTAAAAGCTGGTGCTTCACATGTGGTCCGATATAAAATTTATCAAGGTTTGACCAATAGTTTTTGAGTTATTCTTAATAATTTATATTGTAGTCGGTTATACAAAGTTTTTAATTATTATATTGATAACTAGCGACCTGTCCCTACTTCGCCTGGTACTATAGATCCCATATTAATGTGGCGTTATTTAAATTTAATATAATCAAAGACCATTTATTATATTAAGTACCAAGTCGAGGGATACTCATCCCAATTTACCTGTCCGGTAGTTGTGGTATGGTATACGGGTATGCGACCCCGGCTTCCCTAGCTATTACTGTCCTATCCCGTGCCCTCCTGGACGGTAATATCCTACATTTCCTATTTCCTACCCTAACTTACCTTACTCTTCCTTTTCACACCACCTATCCTTCCCCTTTTCCTATTCCTACCCTCCGCCAATCCAACGTCTGCCGCGCGGATGGATGCATGGCTAGGGGCGAGCCTAGTCGTTAGCGTGCCACACTGCCCTGGGACCGGGCGACCCCAGAATTAGGCTAGCCTTACCCTGGCATGCGGGGCTCCGCTGGGGGGGAAAAACCTTTCCCTCGCTATTCGTGGGAACGCAATGGATAATCATAAAAATAATTTAATTAACCAAAATGGCGGCGATGTGGTTCGCCACCCATCACGTCTCGTTTCTCGCGGGGGCGAAAAGCGGCCCACGGAGAGCCGCTTCGCTACGTTGAATGTAAGAGGAGGAATGGATGGTAAGGTAGATGAAGTATGTCAGATGATGGATGAACGTTGCATTGATATTCTGTGCGTGAACGAAACCAAGAGGAAAGGATGTGACACCACGGTTCATGGCCCCTACACGGTATACTGGTCGGGAGTCCCCCAAACCAGCCGAGGCTGTCAGGGAGTTGGTGTGATTCTTTCATCTCGAATGGTTGAATGTGTGATGGAGCATGAATGTATAAGCCCAAGACTCCTCTGGATTAGGTTAAAAGTCGGACTCACTCGCTTGTTTATCCTTGGGGTCTATGCACCAACGGATCTGCGTGGAGGTGGGTCATTAAAAACACAACAAGAGAGAGAGGAATTTTGGGATAGCATGAGAGAGGTCTTGAATAAATGCGGAGAAAATGAACGGATCGTGATGTTAGGGGACTTTAATGGATGGGTTGGAGTAAAGCGTGATGGGTATGAAGGAGTTCTGGGTACGTTTGGGGACGAGAGAGTGAATGACAATGGGAGAAGCCTGCTTGAAGTATGCTTGGAATGGAATCTGTGCGTGGCCAACTCAATGTTTGACCATAAAAAGATCCATTTGTATACAAGAGATGAGGGTGAGTCTAGAAGTATGATTGATTTTGTAATTGTGGATGAAAGACTGAGGAAGAAAGTGCTAGACACTCGGGCATACCGCGGTGTAGGCCTCGACACAGACCACTTCCTGGTCATAGCCCGAATGCGTAGCCTCTTTAAACGGTGGCGACACCGAGTGGCCGAGCTTACGAGTGTTTTGGACAGAGTAAAAGTGGAAAATCTACAAGAAAAAGAAAAGAAAGACGAGTATGTAGAGAAACTGAAAGAAAGTTTTAAAGGGATAGAAGAGATAGGAGTGATTGAAGATTTGTGGGAGACATTTAAGAAAGGGGTCGTAAATGTTGCTATTGAGGTATGCGGGGTAGCTAAAAGAAGGAAAGGAAGAAAGAATGATAACGTGTGGATGGATAAAGATGTACAAAAGGTTGTGCAAGAAAAGAAGAAAGCGTGGTTGGATTGGTTAGCAACAAAAGCTAACCAAAAAGTTCAAAAGGCAACGGATGACGAGATAAAGGATGCAAGAACGAAGTATAAAAGATTGAAAACAGCAGCGAAAGAAATTGTGTCTAGAAAGAAAGAAGAACGAAAGGATGATTTCGATAGGAGGCTCACTGAAGATTTCCAGTCAAACATTAAGTTTTTCTGGAAAACCATCAAAACAGCCAGAGGAAAAACTTCTACCTCTGAGCTGACTACAATCAGGAGTCAAGATGGGAGCATTATAAAAGGAGAAGAATGTGTGTTAAAGAGATGGAAAGAGTATTTTGAAAGTTTGTTTGAAAGAGAGGAAGTGCAGGTACGGAAACTAATATAAATGTTGATGAAAATGAGATAAGCATGGATGAAATAGTGAAAGCGTTGAAAAGTATGAGATTAGGTAAGGCTGCAGGGTATGACAGGATTACCGTCGAGATGCTGAGGGCTGGACAGGGCCTGGTGGCTAGTCAGCTGTACCGCCTTTTCAATCTGTGCTAGCAAAATGGGCAAGTACCGGGAGACTGGTGCAAAGCCGTAATCGTGCCATTGTATAAGGGAAAAGGGTCACGGCAGGACTGCATAAATTACCGCGGTACAAGCCTTCTCAGCGTCGTCGGTAAATTGTATGCGAAAGTGTGATTGTGAATGAAACAGACAAGAAAGTATGGGATGCACAAGCGGGATTTAGAAAGGGAATGGGATATACGGATCAGGTCTTTTCCTTGCGGTGCATAGCCGAAAAGTATTTGGCTAAAAACAAGAAAGTCTACTGCGCGTTCGTAGATCTAGAAAAGGCCTATGATAGAGTGGTGAGGAATGAATTGTGGTCAGCACTGTCCGTGAACGGTGTGAGCAGTATCCTCATACGAGCAATGCAATCTCTTTATAGGGATTCTAGTGCTTGTGTAAGGATAAACGGGGCATACACTGAATGGTTTAATATCGAAAAAGGTGTTAGACAGGGATGTGTAGCGTCACCGTGGCTGTTTAATCTGTTCATGGACAATTGTTTGACAGATTTAAAAGAGAATGAAAGTGGGTTGAGAATGAATGAGTTACTCGTCAAAAGTTTTCTCTATGCTGATGACCAAGTATTACTTGCGTCTTCGGCAGAGGAGTTGCAGGAGATGGTAACTGCTATGAGTGGAGCTTTTGTTAGAAAGGGAATGAAGATGAATGTAAGGAAGACGAAAGTGATGGTGTTTGAAAAAGATGAGGCAGTGACAGACTGCACCATTGTGATTGAAGATGAACAAATTGAACAGGTGAAAGAGTTTGTGTATCTGGGTTCAAAGTTTACAAGAGATGGAAAGTGTGAGAGTGATATCGAAAGAAGAGTGAATGCAGGAAACATGGTGAATGGAGCTTTGCACTCCTTTATGAGCAGTCGGAAGGTGTCTAACAAGGCTCGTTTGGCTGTGCATGAGGGGGTGTTGGTTCCGACACTCATGTACGGAAGTGAAACTTGGGTATGGCAGAAGAAACATGAAAGCAGAATAAATGCAGTTGAGATGAGAGCATTAAGAAGTATGATAGGAGTTAAACTGAGTGACAGGCTAAGAAATAGTGAGATAAGGAAACGTTGTGGTCTGAAAGAAGATGTAGTGATAACAATTGAGAAAAGTATGCTGAGATGGTTTGGCCATGTCGAGAGAATGAATGAAGAACGATTGACGAAAAAAGTGTATAAGGCGAGTGTGAATGAAAGTGTTGGAAGGGGTAGACCTAGGCGGACATTTCTAGACCAAATCAGGGACGTCTTGAAAAAAGGCCAGGTCGAGAGTACCCTAAACCGTAGAGCATGTATGAAGGGAATAATGAAAGTGGACGAAGCAAAACAAGTATGTAAGGATCGTAGCAAGTGGAAAGAACTGGTCTCTGCCTACCCCTACGGGAAAGAGGCGTGATTATATGTATGTATGTATATGAAGTTCGCCAATACGCATTGGGGCAGCCCGACGGGACTTTCACTTGCCCTAAAACCTGAGAGGGTTTTAGGGCAAGGGAGGTTTGTATCCAGCTGTGGGATGTATATGGCTGCAAATTTAACTTTAACTGGAGTTGTACAAAAATCAGGCCCGAAAGATAAGCCCGAAAACAACTGTCACGTAAATTGCTAGATTTTTTTAACAAGAGACTTCTAAAGTTTATGGAGCTCCACAATCCATAATAT